TTCTGCTGCTGCAGCCACGTCCATTGCTCTGTTCCTTCTGGTTCTGCCTCGCCGGGTTCACGCGTTCTCTTGCTGTTCTTGGGGCATCTTGTGGTTCGCGTGTTCTGCGGCGTCCGTGCACGGAGGATCGGCGTCCGCGAGAGTCCTTCCTGCAAAAGGTGCAAAGGTTGAAGTCGAACAAGATTTTAACATTCTGAGCCAGTCAACTCAAACGCCATAACTAGTGCGAGGATATATGCTATATTGGTAATATAGCGTATATATAGATTATATACTGGCGGCGGTCCCCAGCGTTGCCGTCCGTGAATATAAGATAGGAATGACTTGGTAGAGCTTCTTTCTTGATACTATATACATCATGTCATATATTTACTTAATTCTAAGGATAGTGGATCTGAGTAAGAGTTCCTGAATCGAAAGTTTTTCGATTCTCGCGGCTACGCCGCAATAGATTTGAAATAATATTTACATCATCACAGATCATTTCTTCGCTGAATCAAAAGCTCTCCGGGTGCTTACCGATAGTTGTAGTGGTGGTGCAGTTCGTTTACGGCCACCTGCCAGTGCTGAGGCATCTGTTGCCGTCTCTCCCCCCTCTCTCTCGTTCTCTCTCTGCAGCGCGCTTCTTTCTTCTGTTTTCTTCGCATCTCTTGTTTCTCAAGTTCTTCATCTATTTTCCTGCAATTTCACGAGGAAAGACGCCGTAGTACCTCAAGATGCAGAATTTATAGGTTTCACATAGATTACAGAATGGCAATCAGAGATTTTCCAGCTACAGATACAAGGAGCTAGTCAAATGCATATAATAAATAATTGTTGGTGTTAGGTGGCGGCAGGCGGGGGGGGGGGTTGTTAAACCTTGATCTGCCTCCCAGGAGGAGGGTTTTTTACGGTGAATGAGTCCCAGGCGGGTGGTGGGCGAGGGCGGTTTGTTTACTGTGGTTTGCCCAGTGGCGCTCGGGGAAGGTTTTTGTACGCGATGAATGCCCAGGTAGGGTAAGCTGCTGGGTTGTTTTGTTATGGTAGTGAACCTGCAGTACTCACGCTGTTCACTGCTCTCTGCCTTCTTCTGCTTCTTCGCCTTCTCCTTCTTCCTCTGCTTGGCAGCTTTCTGTCTGCCTTCGCGAGACTTCCTCCAGGTCTAGCTCCTTGCAGCAGAGAGTTTGCGTTCTTTGTTCGGCTTCCTCGGCCTGCCTTCACCTTCGCACTCACTATTATCTCCATGGCACTGGTACACTCTTTCAACAACCTGCCTGTCGCGAACCGGAAACCGAGAAAACAAGAGGCGATCGTTAATGGAATGTTTTGCGAGACGTCGTTCCTTGTGTCGCGACAAATTGGGAGTACAAGTTCATGTTCCTGCTAATTGGAATTTAATAACATTTTAAAATTAAAATATTTGTAAATTGGTTTTAAGTTTGATCCAATTCTCCTCTAACTGGAACAAATTCCCAGAGAAATATGCATAATATGCTATATACTTTTTAATATATTAAATTCCAACTTTCCAATATATACTTTTTGTTCCTTCTATGCAACAAAATCAGAGCTAAAGCAGTGCTCTACTGGAAACAGATTCCCAGAGGCAGCTATGCCTATGTATATACTTCTGAATGATATTACGTCAACTTCCAATATATATTATATGTCCTGCTATGTGACACACATCCGTATCAACTCAGCATCTCTAACTGGAACAGCATCCCAGAGGTAGTAGGTGTCGCACAGACCTTTCACTAATTTTCTTGTCCGGCATATTATGGCCTTCGAAGCATTACAACGACAGGAGCAAAAATTGCGCAATTGCAAAAGCAGGAGACGATAAAAAACGATAGACAGTTTGAGAGTCGTTGCAAGGTGGCGTACTTGTCTGATATGGTAGCTTAGTATCGGCAGGCATTCAGTGTCAGAGGGGAACTGTGTCACATGCTTGACCCCGCCCGGCCCGCGCCGCGGCCAGCCACTTCACGACCTGGACGTGACGCCTTTCCGAAATGCCGCCATCAGGCAGGAGATCCTTCCTGTTCCTGGGGACTGGTCGATTTGGGGGGGTTTTTCCCCGCCAAAAAACCCGGGCGTTCACGCAGTAGCTGGACGAACGTCCCAAGTGACCACTAAACGACAGACACAATGACGACGACGGCGCCGGTGAAACAATGCGAAGGCCTAGCGTAGCGTCACGCGTTGTCAAGCTTTCACCCGCTGGAATCTCTGCCGCGAGTGCGATTCTCCTTTTATCTCGACCTACAAGCACGCACGTAAGTTAATGACAGCGAGACCGATACATCTCATTCAATTAACTACACACTCAACGAGCTTAATTAATGTTTTATAATGCATGAACACAAGATAATCGCCCGCGTTACACAACAGTTACGATCAGCACAGATTGCCAAATACATACTCGTTGTTTCACACTCGGATGTGCCTAGCACACCCAGTAGGACTAGTATCTCCTCACGCGCACGATGAAACAGTAACTGCCGCGTGCCACAACACACGCCACCGCTACTCATTAAACATAGCGGTAAGAGAAGGTAAAAACAGTCCCGAAGAATGCTCCGGCAACCCCTAGACAGAACAACTCGCCCCCGCGTGTGCGTTAGCACGTTAGCCAGTTGGCAGGCTTGCGTGATTGGCCGCGTGCCTTCATCAACAGTGACCGCCTT